ACGAGACTGTCTGGAGGACAGCGCTGTCCTCGAGACAGTCTCGTCCCTTCACCTGATGAAGGCCACTTGTGTTGTGGCCGAAACGTCGTGAGAATTTTATTGTGTTATTTTATTTTATTAATTTATTATTTTATTCTCATTCTACGTGACTTTACCGAAAGAACCAAAGAAGATGAATCCTTGCAGTCACGAAAGCTTTAAATCGAAATTTAACCTGCTTGGCAGTTTCTTCCAGGAAACTAAAAGTGGGTCTGAAGTCGCTCGTCGCAACAACAGAGAATTCACGACACCATTCTGTTGCCTTGGTATAACAGGCGCTTTGCATTTCTAATTGTCTGTGATCACATTTAAGGTTCATTGCGCAAGGCTCGTTTGCGGCACAATGGCACTCAGTGCAGTAAGGCTGGCCGCATCTACACTCGCCACTTAGTTACCGGCTCTTAAAACAACAGCAGCATCCGGCATGGCGCAGTGCGCTGTCGTTTCAAGAGGCGAGAGCTTCGGATGAACATCGCTCTCCAAACTAGTGCACAATGAGAAGCCGCCAAAAGAGTTATACACTGTCTGGAGCTCTCGCGATGTCTTCTCTTTTGCCATCAGGACGATATTGCTGGGGGTGTTCTGGTAATAGAGTGACGTAGCCATCTCAACTCGGCAGCCCTGTCTTACTAAGTAAATACAAACAAACACGTGTACACATACATAAATAACTCCTGCAAGGTTGCTAGTTCAAATTTCGATTGGGGCCAACTTGGCCTATTGACCCTATATGGTCAACAATAAGAGTAACCAGTTTGTGGGAAATCAAACCGTGATTAGGCTGTAGGCATGGTGTAATGGCTAGCACACTGGACCTGCGTTCCAGAGGTCAATGGTTCGATTCTACTTCCAGCATGGCTGTTGAAACAATGTTGCAGGTTTCTTAAATCCCCTTCATCATATCTGTCCTTCCAGCAGTATAAATTGATTCACCACAGTCCCTCGATCAGCAGATTGCGTGTGGTAGGGTGACGTGTGGGTATGCTCACCACTCCCAAGCCATATGGCCAGTGTGGAAGAGTAGGCCAGCAGTGCTGTAAGCAAGCGATTTCAGCGCTGCCCCATGACCTTTACCAACAGTGTTTACTCTTGTCGAGAGAAAGGGGCCCTGCTCGAGGGAATGTATAATTTACACCACTTGTTCTGGGCTGCCAGCATGAGTACCACCCCAGTGTGTGTGTTTGAGCAGAAAAAAAACCACTTCGACTTTGACGAAGGAATATGGTAAGCCGCCATCCAGCATAACCCCCTCCAGCAATACACATGTTTGGGGCCAAAATTTTACAGCCAAAGAATTGGCAGACTCAGACACCCACCTAGGAATGTACACACTTTGCCACATGAGCAGCCACGCACGGTGCGGTCTCTCACTCGAGAGAGAATCGCCCAGGGACTGCTGGAAGTTGCTGTGTTCCCTTCAAGAAAGAGTGCATAGCTTGGTTTTGACAGCAGCCTTTTCATCAGCCACTTTTTAACAGCCAGCCCTGCCACGTTCCACACCAAGCCACAGGCTCACGGCGGTGTGGACTGAATGACGATGGTGGCTTCATCCCCCCCCAACCCCCCGATGCTCGGTGCCGGACGTCACTGCTTGTGATCAACGGGCACATTTTTCCCCGTGTCCCATGCATGCATCACATCCCTCACTGCAGTCAATCCATGCATCTTGTGCTAGGTTCAGTGCACACGCGGCCTCGTGTTCACAACACGGGTGCGACAAAAGACTTGGGCGAGGCTGCGCCACATGATGTACATCGACGCCGAGATGCAGACAACATCAATAAAAGGCTGTGTGCGCGCTTCCGTACAACAACGCTCAACCTCTGTTGATAGGGCTGAGTGATGCACAGTCCACAAATACTTTATATATTATTTATATTTCCGTGTTCCGCTTTCATTACACATGCACATCCGTGCATTGACGGACATCAGATGTCCTGCAGAACGAGTGCTGCAGAAGCGATTTGGCAGTTAAAGATAACTTAATGCCTTGGTCATTATAAATACCACATTTGCCATGGAATTACAAAGCACATTTGGCAATGCCTTAGAAAATGACATGAAATAGAACCTTAAGCACTCCTGACATTGCTGTACACGACGTTCTCTGTTCTTTGAGGAGGAAAAAAAGGACAACTTCCCCTGACAAAGACCTGATTCTTAAGAATGCTTAGGAAATACCTACAGCCGGAAGAAAAAAAACAACTGCAGAGCACTCCAGCTAGAACGTGTGGTAATGCTGTTAAAGAGGCGGCCTTGACCAAAGCTATAAATCAAAATTTCGGTTCAGCACAATACGGTGGTGCAGGTTGTTTCCAAGGGCAAAGGGGAAAAGTGTTTCATTTTTTCAATGAAACTGGCTCTAAATAATTAACTTTCTCTCCTCAACAGCCGTGCACTTGAGCCACATATGATCACGTTGCATTGATATGCTTTTGACAAGTCTGCGAGGAAGATATGTTCTACATTATCTCCTGTCAAGTGTAGCAGAGCAAGGCCACGTTCAAGCATTGTGTAGCCTGTGCAATATTGTTCGGTGGCTTTTGATATGAATAAAATATACGAGAAGTATCCAAAAGTGCCATTGCAAAAAGTAAAAACACATAATAGAAAAATCCACTTACGTTTTGGAAATCACTTTTTATCTTTTTTTGTTTGAACATTGCTGGACAGCATACACAAACAAAAAGCAAAATGCTCTATGAATGCATTCCATTAACGGGTTGGTTCCTCTGCTCTCAGAGCAGACATGAAAAGAAAACAAATGAATGGCTGCCACAGCTGGGTGCTCGGCTCGGCCACTCGCGAGCTGCACGTGCGCTCAGCCAGGAGTCAGGCCATTCCCACGGCACTTCACAGGCTACAGCCCAGAGCAGCTGCCTCGCAGAGGCACCCGGGACAGTCGTGTGAAACTATCCAGACCCCCTGGCCCCTCGCGATTACGCCGTCTCTAATGGGATGAAGGTCAAAGTGTCCCTGCTAGAAATGAGCACGTGGCTGCGCCCCTCTCCATCGCGGATCCTGAGCCAGCGAAATTCCACATTCCCATGGCGGAAGCCGGTTTAATCATGGAACAAACCGCCGTTGACATCCCACAAAGGGGTACTCATTTTTTTCAACCGGGCTGCGCCGATTAGCGACTGAGATACGAACTCATGACCCTCTCGATTGTGAGTCAAGTACAGCAAAGGGATGATAGGCCACGTCGGCCCATGACCACGAATTGACCAAATGGCGATTCGTTTATTAAAACAGCAGCGCCAGCTGCAGCACCACCCAGACGGGCCTGCAAGATTCTCGCTCCCGTGTGTAATCGTGCATCAACAAAACAAAAAAAGGTAAATTGTTTATATGTATTGGCGGCCATGCAAAATTCAAACATACGGCGTGTGCTCGATTCTGATCTGCAATATAAATGTGCGCACCCTGTTTATTTAAAATGAAGAAAAGGTCACCGAGTCACTGCATAATAACTTCTTTCCTTATATTTTCAATCTCTGAATATATATTTGTATTAAACTTTGAACATTGCAATGATGGATACAGGTAGAACCATTTAAATGCCACCTATAAAGGCTACGCAAATGTGTTCTTGATCAGGGATTGTCAAATGCATGCAACAAAATCTAATTTCTTTAGATTGCGCAATTAAACAATGCAGTTTGCAAAATTTACACTACAAAGGTTTGCCTGTGGCAAAACATCGTACATAAATGGTTTTGCGTTTGTGCTGTCAGCTTTAATCGGTCATACAGTGCCTTGTAGTGAAATATCTAGGACCTAATACATATAATCGGCGAGCAAAGCCCAGAGATTTTGGAAGAAATCCAGAAAAGAGGGGGCTTGTTTCTGGGACTATAGGTCAGTGAAGTTGAGAATAACAGAGTTCAGAACACGAATTAGCAGACACCATGCCCTTAAGGGTTTTGGATCAAAATAACAAAGGTTTTGAATACTGCAAAAAAACCAAAGTGTTGGAGGTTTGAGCCACCAGCAGGGCCGTGAGTAACTCAAATGCAGGGAAATTACCTTTGATGAGGATCAGATGAAGCTCAGTGTACTTAAAGCAGAAGTGGTTACATTAGCGGCGTGACAGTTTTGCCCTCAGTTATTGGCCAGTTAACCTGATTAACTCAATTCAAAGTGACAGGAGCCTTTCCAGAAATAAATCATTCTCATGACTCTTCGGAGATGTTTAAAATGCCCCTGATTGAATACTATTAATGTTATCACTCTCAGTTGTTCGGAAGAATAAACCACCACTCTTCTATGGGAAAAAAAAAATTGCTGTGGTTTTCCCACCTGATGATGATTGCTTGTGTTGCATTCGAAACGTCGTGATTTCTTTTTATTTTGTTTTATACCTACATGACTTTACCGAAAGAACCAGAGAGTATGGATTCCTGCATTCACGGAAGCTACAAATCTATATTAAAACATTAAGAGTACTAAAACACATAGAACTTTTCCTAGTCACCAACATTTTTTTTTTAAACAACTGAATGCAGGATTCACATGAAAATGAGTCTTTAGACTTAGTGAGGTTTCGCGAGATGGTTGATATTATTACCATTGTGGACAAGAGACAAATGAAATTAATATTTGAATAAACCATTTACTTCCATAAAAAAATCATGGCCACTATTTGTGAGCTCTGGGAAAATGTTACAATTTATAACGTATTTCCCAGAGCACTCTATTGTTAGTTTAGCCAGTCATAGCTATTTCTACTTAATTAATATAAAAAAAATTATGTCATTGATTGTTTTAGGAAGTTAATTAGCCCTTTTTGTTGTCGGATAAGAACACGGGACACACATTAATGTCAGCAGTGCTTAATGTTCAACCTGAATTTGTAACACGCTTACAGGCAAGTAAAAAAAAATGTTCCGTCATTTCCGTAAAAAACTTACGGACACGCGTGACAAAGGGTTTGCCAAGGAGGGAGAGGAGAGACTCACGGCTGGCAGAGCTTGATGAGGTCCTGGTCAGTGGTGTTGGGGAGGAGGCCACGGATGTACAGGTTGGTCTTGCTCAGGTGGTCGCCAAAGCTCCCACCACCGCCGCCGCCGCCCCCATTGTTGCTGCCGCTGGTGCTGCTTGTAGCGCTGGGGCTTGGGGGCGCCAGAGGGTGGTTGCTCGCCGCGTATGGCTGCCAGGAGGAACGGGAGCAAGCGAAGGGAAGCATTGTTAGCTGTGGCCATCGATCCAAGCTTAAAGTCGAAGTCGAGAGTCAACATGTCTTCCTGCTCAAACAAGCTCTCGACGCTGCTCAGTTCTGTTGGCAGACTTGATCCAGAAATGTAATGTCCACATTACTATGCCAGGCAGCAGCATATAACGTACGGAAACTGCTGATGACTTGCAACAAATATTCTTTTCATGGCAAGCCACATGGGTTGATGATGATGATGAGCGAAGTTGACCTCTGACCAGGACATTAACTCATGACCTTCTGATTGTGAGTTGAATGCTCTGCCACAGCGCCACCGAGCCTGATTGACCGGTGAATACATCCGATAATATACCCGACTGTGAGTTGTATCAATATTTCCATGCTTTCTCTATTAGGACCATAATGATCATGATCCTCATTGTCTATTCTCCTTCCACTGCTGGAAGAATGACTCTCCATGCTGGCACCATATATCACTGTCACGTGATTATGAATTCCAGCTCCTGCTTGTGTACTGTTATTAATTATGCAGTAGTCATATTATTATTATTATTATCCCATTGCAATATACCGCATGCAGCACTGAGGAAACTTGACAATGGGGAAGACAAATGTAAGCTAGCCAATAATCTAATACTGAGCATCTATGAGTTTCAACTATCATTTTGCACCATGATTGTCAATGGCATTCACATATGCGCGCATATGTACATACACACACATGGAGTATAACCTGGAATATTACGATGCAGTTTGCTGCTACAGCAGATCAGTGTCAACCGCAAGCGTTACCCTCACAGGATGTTCTGGGCTACCGGACTGATAGCAAGGCAGGATGTAACTTAATAATTTAGATAAGGTACAAAGTGATGCCAGGGAAGTGGAAGCAGAATGCAATCAACCTCTAATGAACTGCAACTCAGAGGAGTTTGATTCGTAGAATAGATTAATAGGATGTGTCTCTGAGACAGATTCATGAAATCCATAGAATTCGTCTCAGATGCAGTTGGCACGATGCCAACAAATAATTGTTAATATCTTCAGGTCTTACCCATTTATCTTCACTGTTAAGTCAACCCCAACTACTCTGACCTCACGCCTACATCAACCTCAGCCGAATCAACGTGCCATCATCATCTAAATGTTACTGTAATTGTAGCATTGTCTTTATCCCACTATCCATTTCCCTAAGACTATTTTCCCACTGCAACAAACCCCACGTCTGGCCCAAGATAAATAAAATAACAAGGGAAACATGTCTCACATTGATAAAGATGACAAAGATTTCCAAATTAATTCCCCACGAAATGTTTTGAAACAGCCTCTGGCAATGGTTTTCAGCGATTGAGAATTACCAAATGGCAATGAGTGAACAATGCATGAGAACACATAACCCAATTTCTACCAATCACAGACCTGACGAAAAAAAGGACGGACGGACTGATGGAAGACCAACTGATAATTATTATTCATACGGCATATTAGTATTACACTGTAATGTTGGTTACATCTGTTGAGCATCATGTTATTTTTGAGCATCATTTTGTTTATTATTGAACCTATATACGTGACTTTACGGAAAGACCCAAAGAATATGAATTCCTGCGGTCACGAAAGCTTCAAGTCAATATTTCATCATATGTTTAATGAACAGCGATGCACATGTATTTATTTATACCACCTCACACATGACCTGTCCATCAACTCACTGTGCTGCACAGATGCAAACTCCTCGGTGGCCAGAGGTGCCAGAATGGATATATTTGTAACTTACTCATAGGCATGTTGCTGTAGGTTAGGATGCTGGGACGAATTCCATCTGTCTTACTGAAGGAGATGTTTTATGTGTACGTCGTCGACTTGACCTCGGTTTAAAGTTTCATCGTAAACCAGGCGCCGCCTACACCACAGCTACGGCCGAGAACTGAACTCGGACACCGGTGAACCTCGGTCAAAGGTGTAGTGGTTTAACCACAGGCTAGGCCCACACACTGACTTCAGAGGTACTTTGCCGATTGTTGTATAAACAAAAACAGATTCATTAACTCTATTGATTCTAAAAATCCGAATAATAATAATGATGTGCCACGACAAAAAATAATTCAAGAAGCACATGCGCTTTTGGGAATAATATTAAACATTTTACTAAACATTTAAAAATTGCATTCAGTTTTGTGGTTTACAATTAATTAACCGCTCTGTTATTCACATACAAACATTTACTTAACAATGTAAAAAGGTTAAAGAGTAACAGTTGAGCCCTGCAATTGCTTGCTGATGCCACCGCTGGCAGAAGAGGTCTCCACAATAGAGAGCTCTCCTCTTACGTACAACCATAACTGCCACTGCGATCCTGCGGCCTGAAATAAAAAATATAGCTATAGATGACCGATGTATGAAATTATTATGTATTTTGATTATAGTGCGCTGCTACTGCTATTGTTTATCCGGCTGTTATGGATTGACTTATGCAGCTAGCGAAGGACGCTAGGTTTAGTGATGTGTGTTGTGTGTGTCGCTATTGTAAACTTGTAATCACATTTGTTGGGAAAACTGTTACGTTGTTTATATAGCATTGTTTTAGTAAGTTTTAGAGGGTTTGGTTTCGCCCGATTTTTAATTATTTAGTATAGATTCATACTTTAAATTTTGATCTGTATTGTATTACGATTGTTATTGGGATCAAACATCGACATGGAATTTTTGGCACTTTTTGTACGCAGCATGGACGGGTGGTGCTTTTTATTGTTTATGTATGTGATGTTTAGATTCGCGTACAATGAATTTTAGGTGTATCTTGTAATTGTATTGTTTGTTGCGGTTGCACCCAAATCAAGAGCCGAATGGTTCACAGGGTAAAATCCTAATAAATTAAACTGAAAACTGGTCAGATGCCTTAGTAGAGTTGGGATTACCCACACTTCACCCCACCACACGCGACTTGCCAATCGACTGGTGCACCCATGTATACTGCTGGGTGGGCGGAGGTGCCATAACAATGAGATTAGCTTAACAATGTATAAAATATGCGTAAATACAGCACAGTGAATATTCATTAAATGTAATAAACATTTATCTGTAGTCTTTGTGTCTTTTGGTAAAAACTTTACCGAAAGACCCAAAAAATATTAATATGAATTCCTGCAGTCACGAAAGCTTTAAGTCAAGATTTAAACATTTATCCGACATCGAAACAGGGACTTTGCCTACAATTGTATGCAACATTTGATATCACTGTAATATGGATAAGTACATAAAATACATTGTCATACATCTCTATAAACCAAATCTGCCATAATTGTAAGCCAGAGGGAAGCCCTGGGAGCAAGGGCATGGTTGGACATTTGTGGTTTTTACAAGATATCACTCAGCCCGATGGACTCCACCAGTGTCCCTCCCAAAAGCCATTAACAGGAACCTCCCACTGGAAACGCACGAGCCTGCCTAGGGCTGTTGCACGCACGCACAGCTTTATATCTGTTACGGCCACTGCACTCGCCGTTCTAGATAATGGTGTGATTTAAGCATATTCTGTTTTCCCAAGAGGCATCTGAGTCATATTACAAGGCTTATCAGGCTGATGCAGCTTCTGGTTTGAAATTATTTAGAGCATTTCACCCTCAGAACATTTAGATCTTTTTGCCCTGTGCTGAAATTGTCAGATTTTTTTTTCTTCTTTCGAATGCAAATCGCAGGTTTCATGAAGCAGATGCTGAATGTAGTCAATTGACGCTGGGTGTACCGGCCGGGACGTGGACACCTTTTCAACAGTCGCCGAGCATTCCGTTTTGCAATTTCTGCAACTTTCGGATTATTTCAGAGCTTGCGGTTAGTGCTAGTCATTTAACAAGAACAGGTTTTCATTTGTGATGGAGAATGCATCACAAACGCACCAAATGTCACTCCTCGCCTGCTCACTGAAATAACTGGAGGTGTGCCGCAAGAGGGACGTCTATCGCAGAATGCGGACAAAATATGAAATGCAGTTTGGGAGCATGTGGCCACGGCATGCAAGGTGCTTCTGAGGTCACAAAGACCAAAGATTCCCCGTATAGCCTGAATAGACCGTTGGGGCAAGTGCTGTTCTCGAGCACCTGTGAAGGCTGGCACGGCGCACGAGGGGGTGACTAGCCAACACCACGTCCGGGTCGCATTTGTCTCCCAAGTGGCGATGTTTTTACACATCGTACTATGTACTCAATTCAGGCTTCGTCGACCTAGAAGAAACCCAGACCCAGTTCCGATAATTGTCACTGGTGTTGTTAGCCGCGAGTGGGAATCACTCGGGTCACTGGGTCGGTAGTGCATCGCGTTAACCGTTGCAGTACCGCTCCCCTACCTTCTGAGGTCACGAGCACTAAACCAAGGACAATGCGAGGAGGTCGCACAGCAGGCCTGGCGTCTGGGTCGCTGAGCGACATTTGTGTGAGCGAGCGGAAGGTCAGGATGTGCCGAGATTCTGTCAAGAAATGCATTGTTAACTTCATGGGGAAATGAAAATAAGGTAAATGTATTTTCAAAGGGGTCGTTTAAAGGAATAATAATTGCATCACCCGGCCAAATCTGAAATGAAAAATAAACGTAATTTGAGGGCAGATACAAACAAATCTAGCTGATGCCCGAGGTCCACTGGATGGAAACTCATTCTGATAAAGGCCTGCAGGCCAAAATATTGACCAACTTCCTCAATGTAATTGTAATTGCCTCACATTTTTTTTGTATAAAAGCCCATTGTTGCATGATTTATCTCTAAGTGCTTGCAGCAGCTGCAGGACAATGTTACCATAAAAAAACCCTAAGAGATTATATTAGAAAAAATAAGCCATCTTTGAACCATATTCTTGGTTCTTTCGGTAAAATCACGTAGAAGGGAAACAATAAAATAATAAAAATATAAAACAATAACATTCTCACGAAAACCACTGTGGTTTTCACACCTGATGATGATTGCTTGTGTTGCAGTCGAAACGTCGTGA